ATTTCAAATTTCATTCAATTGGAGCCAGTAGTTTAAGAATTATAGCTAGTCAAAGTTTCTTAATTTTGTCACTCACTGACTGACCGATCATCAAAACTCTAAGGCACTTCTAGCAGACATAGAAGCTTAAAATTTAGAATACAATTAGATTTTAGTGTATAAATCAAGGAAAAACTAAAATATTTTTTAATTTCGGTCGAGTTTTCTAGATATACCAACTGCATAAATAACTTTGTAATCCCATATAAATATATAGAATTACAAAGTTACATTTGCAGTTAATGAATCAGTATTCTTGTATATGTATAATAGGTCATGCAATCGCATTAAGCAATCTAATTTAATATAAAATGTATTTCTTGTGAGATTTTCATGCGATGGCCAAGTCAATCTATATATTTAAAACATAAAAGATTTTTAACATTGATATGGTCACTACAAATTTTGTTAGATTAGCTAATTACATAATAACTTAAAACAGAAGGACCGTTAAGTAGGAACTGAATAAATTAACCGACTTGGTATTACATGGATCTCACAACAATTTTTTACAAGTTATGTTTTTGATGGGGTATTATTATCGCCAAGTCGAGCAAAAAAGCGGTACGGCCGTACCATTCTTTTCTCGAAGCAATTCCGGCCATTTTCGCCCCCCTATAACTTCGTTGTGGATAAAACTAGAAGGCTGAATTTAGTAACCTATCAGGCATTGTATAAACACGGTATATTTCAAATTTCATTCAATTTGAACAAGTAGTTTAAGAGTTATAACTAGTCAAAATTTCTTAATTTTGTCACTCACTGACTGACCGATCATCAAAACTCTAAGGCATTTCTAGCAGACGTAGAAGCTTCAAATTTAGAATACAATTAGTGTTTAGTGTACAAATCAAGGGAAAACTAAAATATTTTAAAATTTCAGTCTAGTTTTCTAGATACAACAACTGCATAAATAACTTTGTAATCCCATACAAATATATAGGATTACAACGTTACATTTGCAGTGAATGAATCGGTGTACCTGTATAATATGTATAATATATAAATCATAATAGGTTTAGATAGGTACCTAGATATAATTATGTTCAAAGGCAACTTGTAAAATGGTCAACTCTTGTCTCGTATGATGAGTGTTGCCATGCCAGCTACGTACGTTCGTGTTCATATATATGTAAGGTTGTAAATAACCGCGCGGTGTTCCGGCGGTTCGCGGCGCGCTCAGAGGTAACGAGCGAGTGGCGTGGCAGCCACTGCGCTCATATGCGCGAGCGCCCCCTTGCTGTTTGGATGTGCCTATAAATCTTACCTATAAATTTGCGTTTTTCGTTCATGATTTCGATTGCTATATTAGTTTGACGACTGAAGGGCTTCTTACTTATTGATTTACTTATATTATTTGCTCACGATTTGGATGTTGTTTGAATAATTTTAACTTATATTAATAATAATATATTATAATATATTATACCTTTTCGTTTATAATTTCGATTATTATTATTATTTTATTATTATTGGGGTATCTATATAATTTTATCACCTGGTTGGGTTCTATAAATATATAATTATAAATTAAAATGAAAAGATAAATATACATAAATATCAATAAAATAAAATAAATCCTAAAACTACATAAATAAATAAGATCCAACCAGATGGGAGCCCTCGGCAGGGGAGACCAAACGGCCGAGGGTTAGGGGGAAAGGAAAAGAAACAGGCGGACGATGCGGGAGGTATCGAGGAGCACCGCCTTCTGCATTTGAGCACGGAGCGGTCCGTCACGGAGTCCCAGCCGACTCAGATTTCCCGAGAGGCTGACTGGGATTAGCCCATTCGCAGAGACGACTACAGGAATAATTTCGGCCGGCATACCACCCCACATGTCGGTCACCTCGTGAGCCAGGTCCAGATATTTTGTTCGTTTATCTGTTTCAGCTTTCACGAGGTTCTCGTCATACGGAATGGTAATGTCGACCAAAAATATCCTTGATTGTGTCAGGTCCATCAGTACAATATCAGGCTTATTCGCAAGAATAGTCCGTCTGTGATGATGGCCCGGTCCCAGTAGAGCCTGGCGCGATCATTTTCGAGCACGGCTTCCGGCAAGTACTTGTAATACGGCAATTTTTGGTCCACGAGACCGTATTTCAGAGCGAGCTTCTGGTGTAGAATTCTGGCTACTAGGTTGTGCCTGTGCAAGTACTAAGAGTTAGAAAGCGCCGAACAACCGGAAATGACATGCCTAAGTAACTCCCCGGGATGGCGACAAGCTCGAAAGACGTCGACAGTGCCATCCTTTAGGATATATCTCCGATAGTTGTTGGTCTTAATAACCTGATCCTGTATTGCACAGACAGAACCCTCGGTTTCCCCGAAGAGGTCACCGAAACAATTTATTATTAATTATATTATTATATTTGTAAACGATTTGATATTAATTATATTATTATATTATTTTATTTATTATTAATTTGATTGATATATTCTAATATTACTTTAACGATTGGAAGGCTTACTCATTGGGTTACCTTTATATATTATTTGCCAAGGATTTGGACGTTGTTTGGATAATTTTAAGATATATTTATATGTTTCAAGTACTTTAAAGTCACGTTTATCTATTAATCGTATTCCTTCACAAAAAAAATCTCTTGCGTACAAGTAGGTACTAGTAGTCACAATGGATTCGGAAATACTGTATGTAAATGACAATCCTTGCCCACACTGGGTTGTCCCTATACCTGGCGATGGTTCGTGTTTATTTTATTCTTTGTCATTCTCTATGTGTATGGGAATATTGAGTCGTCGTATGAGATTAGACTTGCTATAATCGAGTATGTGGTGGCGCATTGGGATGAGTTACAACTGTATACTTGTGACGAGCGTGGAAAACCCTACATTAATGCTGATTTGTACACGACGGCAACGGTAAAAACAACTACTTATGGCTCCACGTCTGAACTTATGGCGGCCGCCGCTTTGTATCCGTATGCTTTCGAGGTTTACGAAAATGGCATTTTGAGAGGATCATTCGGCGGTGATTCTGGTAATCCTGTGAAACGATAACGATTTTCTGGCGGTTTCTTGGGTGGCCACTATGAAGGGCCTTCCAGACGTGCCTCCAAGTGATGATAATTCGAATAAAAATAATAAAAACTAACTTTAAACGGGCGGAAGACCTAAAAAGGTTAAAAAGGAGGACCTAAATCTTCGGCACTATCCCGTTCTCAACAAATCAAAGAAGCAGCGGCTCGTTATCGCCAGAACAAATCCGAAAAACGTAAGGAGACATTATTATATAATTCGTTACAGTTCTTCATGTCCGGAAGTTTACAGAGCAGCTGTAGCGCGGTACATGCGTCTCATCCCGAAATTAACCGAGAAGCAGTGAGTCATTATACTGCTTCTACTTTTACCTTTTACTTCTTTAACCGTGATGCTGTGGCACGTTATAAAGATTTACAACCTGAGCTAAATCTTAAATCTGTCCAAACGTAAAGATCAAACGAAAAATTACAATTTCGACTAAAAATTTAGAAAAATTTACTCAAGCACTAACCAAATAAAATTAAGAACAGATTAGAAGCGGGGAAACTAATTAAAGTTTCAAGTTCAGTTCATAACAGGCAGCAAATATTATGAAACTTTAATAAAACTGTTGATAAATTAAAAGATAAATTTAAAGTATCGTTAGGAAAACTAAGTTCGTGCTCTCCAGATAGATCTTTAAATGACAGGTTTTCTTGGAAAATCGGAGCATAGAAGTAACCAGGAGCCACATTACGCAGAAGAAGCTTACAATTTATTTTAAAAAAATGACAAAGCTATCGAAATTGACGATACAGGAAAAGCGGTCTTTGGGAATGTGAAAAAGCATGGCCATAGTGTACGGAACACCTTTAAATGATAGTTGATAGGAAAAATGATTTTATTTAAAATAAATAATGATATTATATAATGATATTGATAATGATATAGAACGCGTCTATCGTGTTCTGAGCGACAACGTCAACTGTCCATTGATCAAAACTAAAGTGAATGACGCAAATTATGTTGACCTAAATAAATCGCTTACACACTAAAATGTACGGTTGCACCCTTTACACATGGTTTAGTTTGGTCTTGTAATGATCTGTGTGCACTAAATGGGAACGTAATCATTTACTTAACAAAAATTTTCGAAAGCTTGGTGAACAAAAGTGCAGCTCAGTATTACACATTAATTGAAAAAGAAAAAATATTGGAGTATTTAAATTATATTAAATTTCTCAAAGCGCATTTTTCCCGTCTTAGGACAATTTCAAGAGAAATATATCAAGTACAGAGTATTTTAACATTTTAAAGGATATTGATGAATCATCAGAAAAATCTGACATAGAAAGAATAAAAAAACCAGGGAAACAAAAAAAAGCTAGCAGTAGATTAGTGGGGTAGGACCCGAAGCGAAAGGTCGATCTGTTATGTCGTCCTCAAAAAATTAAATAAAAACAGTGTAAAAAGTGCACTAAATATCTCAAAATGTCATTATTTACGTGCATAAATAGTGGTGAGACTCTTTAGTGGTGTGGCAGTGGCTAAAAACTTTGTTTCAATACTAGATTTTGATCAAAAACTGAACGAAAAGTGATTTTGTTTTCTTTTGCAAATGAAGGTGAATGTTAATAACTTCTCGCAAAACAAAACAAATAACGAGTGTCTCTAGTACCTCAAATGAATTTAGTCCGGAATATAACACTTAAATTCACCATTCATCAAACAAGCCAGCTAGCCTAGTGATGAGTACGACGCGTTACAACCAAAAAGACGTGGGATCAAATCCACGATATAATTCGACTTCTTATTGTATGTTTCTTTAAGACAGCCTTTAATAACTTACAAAGAATAAACCTAAAGAAACAGAAAAGCAGTAGCACCAAATCCTTATTATAGGAATATAAATAGATTGTAGGAAAGTAAGCAAATTTAAGATGAATACAAGCTATAGCAACATAACATTTAGACGCATGCGGCGTTATAATTCCGAAAATGATGTAGCATGCTTGGAGGGCTCAATAACCAATGATTCAGTTATTATGTACGGTGATAGTTTAAGGAGCCTTCCGGACGTATCTATACACAATAGCTCAAGGATGATTGAATTAGAAATGCAAATTGAACAACTAAAACAAACTCTTCAAGCTGCTAATACAGAAGTAGATAATTTGATATTGCAGAACAATGACTTGCAAAGGGAACTAGAAAACTGCCAGATGGTGATTAAATCACTAAGAGCTATACAAACTTTAGGACCTGAAAAAATACGCGGTATGTCACCCAAGCCAGCTAGCAGTTTAAACAAAACACATCTTTTCAATAAAATTCAAAAAAACGCAGTAACTCAAACCGATGATAATCCGAGCTCACAAAATACTAAAATAAAAAGGAATAAAAGAATTAAATTGCTATTAAAACCTAAAATTAAATATGCAACTAAAAACCTTCTTAAAAAAATTAAAATACAAAATAAGAGGGTTCGAAAATTACAGAAAGAACTGAAAAACTTAAAGATAGAGAAGAATAGAATACAACATAAATTATTAGAATTGGAAACACTGACTAAACTAAAAATATCAACGAAAGTCCAGAAAAAACAAGAAATAATACATAAGCAGGAAAACTACTCTTCAAAGCTGCAAGGAAAAGGAAATAAAATAGAAACATCAGAAAGAGACAGGGCACAAAGCGGAAAAAGAAAAGAGAACACAAAAACACTGACAAGAATAGAAATGTTTTCGGACAGAATAGGGAGTGGACTAGCAATCAAATTAATGCAACAATTGGAAAATACAAAAATAACAAATTACTGTCAAACAGGGGGGAAATCATAAACAAATATTGAAGCACTTTGATTTATATACCAAAGATTTGAAAGAAAATGACTTAGCGGTAATACTAATAGGAAACTACGACATTAAAATGGGGACATCATATGTGGATGAAATTCGAAGAATTGTGAGCAAAGAAAATAGAAAATTCAACATTTTGTTAGGAAGTATAATATACGACAACATAAATGATGATAAAATCTTTACTATTAATAAAGAACTCTTTAATCTAGCTGCGGTATCTGAGAATGTCAGATATCTTGAAATAAATGTAAAAGTCAAGGTAAATGTAAAAAATATAGTGATTGAGGAAACTGTTAAAAGTATCAAAGATAGTCACTTTAATGCTTCGTCTTGTTTGCACTTTATCAAATTAAATTCTAATTTAAATTGTTCACTAAATTTTTTAGACACAACCAAGACTCCATTAACTGGTTAACGATTGTGCATGCTATTATTCAGAGTATTAATAATAAATATTTAGAGCTAAAATTATTAACAGAAAATACAACTTGTGATGTGCTTTGTCTAACAGAGACTTGGACCAATGAATTGAAATTAGGCGTAATGACTATTGAAGGCTTTATACTTGTATCATATTACAATAGGATGTTATTTGAACATGGAGGTACAGCTATTTTTGTTAGACACTCACTTGAATATAAAGTAAGACATGACATTGTAAAGTTGAGTATTGAAATGAATTGTGAACTAGCGGCAATTGAAGTAAAATCGTCTAAATTAATTATTATTTGTGTATATAGACCTGATTATGATTATTTAATATTCGAAGATATTATGACTAAAGTTATCGAAAAAATAGGTAGGGAAAACAAAAGAATTGTAATTGCAGGAGATTTTAATTTAAACCTATTGAAACCAAGCAATAAAGTATCCAAATTTTTAAAACTATTGAGTGAATTAAAATGTAAATTCGTCTTAAATGAGCCAACCCGAACCAAAGGGAAGTCTTCCACATGTATTGATAATTTCATTTTAAATGACGATGATGATTTTCAGTATCACAGGGGTAAAGTATTAGACGTAAAGTTATCAGATCATAACGTCATAGAATTAAAGTATAAATTGAATTCTAAGTATCCTAAACCAAAGGAGAAGACTGAGGTTAGATCTAGAATAATATCTCAGGAAAATATAAAATATTTTCATTACTTGTTCTGTAAAGACTTTGAATGTGTAAGAAAGGATGTAAATTTGAAACTTGACGCAAATGAGAAAATGAACATTCTTATAGACTATATACAATATTGTTATTACACTGCATTTCCATTAAAACCAATAAAACCTATAAAAAATAAGAATAAACTAACAACCAAGGGTATTTTGATATCTAGAAATAATCTTCAAAAACTCGAAATATTACATAACTTGTATCCAGATAAAATTAGAAAATCCAATCTAAATAGATATAAGAGAATATATAGAAAAGTACTACAAACAGCCCAAAAACTTAGGAACGCGTCTAGAATTAAAAATTCCACGAATAAAATTAAAACTACTTGGACTATTATTAAGGAACAAAAAAATCATGTTAAAACACAAAGAATAAATAAAATTACTAAAATTAAAAATCACTATGGGGACATAATTACAAATAATAAAAATATGGCAAACAGTTTCAATGAGTTCTTTTGCAATATAGCTGGTAAACTTACGGAAAATTTAGAGGTTAAGGTTGAGAAATGTAGCAAATATTTAAAAAACCCAACAAATAATAAAATTCGCTTTCATAAAATAAATACCAAAAATAAATAATAATCTTTACGTGGTAGAGCCATGCTGCAATTATATTAGTAGTATAGTTGTAGCACGAATGGGTCGGCTCGACCGGGGAAGGACCACGCTCTCACAGAATACCAGCGTGAAATAGTAGCTTAATGCTGCTGTATTTCGTATGGTGAGTGTAGAGAACCGGAGACCCTTTTTACTGGAAATGAGGCATTCCATCTCAGTCCTCACGGGTGACAACGCATCTGCATTTTGATTTGTAATGGAAGATAGATGTAGATGTCTATGGGCCGCAGCAACCACTTACCATCAGGTGGACTGTGTGCTCGTTTGTCACCCTATCCTATAAAAAAAAAAAAATAAAATAAATAATTCTGAATTTTGGAATATTATTCATAGTTTAAAATGTAAAACGTCTAGAGACATATACGATATGTCAACAAAAACTATTAGAGAACTTATCATCCACAACAAAGACATGTTTGATATAATATTGGAAGTCTTGAATGATTGCATTATAGAAGGAATTTTCCCAGATAGCTTAAAAATAGGAAAAATTGTGCCACAGTTCAAAAAAAGGACAAACTATTGAAATTGGTAATTACAGACCGGTGTGTATATTACCAGCTATATCAAAGATTTTAGAAACTGTCTTAAAATCTAGGATATTAGACTACTTTGAAAAAAATAATCTATTTACAGACTGTCAATTCGGTTTTCGCAAAAAAAGATCAACGGAAATGGCTATTAGAAAAACAGTATACTTTATATTGGACGCTTTGGATGGATCGCAGAAGGTATCTAGCATTTTTTGCGATTTATCTAAGGCGTTCGATTGTCTGAGGCATGATATCTTAATTTATAAATTAAAATTCTACGGATTTGAAGGAAAAGAATTGAAAATAATGCAGTCTTATCTTAACAATCGAACGCAAATAGTTAATTTAAATAATACTAACTCTGATTAACAACATAGTTACATTGGCGTTCCGCAGGGCTCTATCCTGGGACCATTGCTGTTTTTAGTGTATGTGAACGACCTTGCAAATAATTTACCTGACTGGGCGATGGTTACACTATTCGCGGATGATACACAGGTTGGTGTTAAAGATAAAAATGCAGTCCAAGTATCCAAGAAGACAAATGATATTTTAAATATGCTTAAAAATTGGTTTGAAACAAACGGAATAATTTTGAATGCAGAAAAAAGTATCATTATTAATTATGCAAGCAAAAAAACAAATAAAGTCACAAAAAGTGACGTTACATTTTTAGGGTGTACTTTCGATTCCACTTTAAGTTATGAAACCCATATAGATAACGTCTGTAAAAAGTTAGCCAGTGCTAATTACGCTTTATTGAAGCTTAAGCCCATTATTGACAAGAAAACTCTTATATCCGTCTACTTTGCATATTGTCACTCAATTATTAGCTACGCGATTACGATATGGGGAAATGCTACACAAATTGAAAGAGTACTGATTTGTCAAAAAAAGGTCGATTAGAATTATACATGGATTGCAAAGATCGACATCAGCTAGAGCCTATTTCCAAAAAGCGAAAATTATGACTGTCGTTTCGTTATATATTTATAGATCGCTTCTAGAAGTACACCAGGAAAAAAGTAAACTACCAATGAAGAAGCACGTACATAACTACAATTCTAGAAATCGCGAAAGATTAGTTGTTCCAAGAACCAGATTAGTCAAAGTGTTCAAGCAAGGTTTTGCAATAAAAATTATAATGTACAATAAATTGCCAATAGAAATAACAAGACTTCCGCTAAATGCGTTCCGACAAGTGATAAAAACATTCTTTTTAAATCACGCTTTTTGCAACATAGAAGAATATATGCAATGTACATTTTTTGACTTGTTTGACACATAAAATAATGTACTGTAAATGAGATGTATCTTAATTATATTATTGTAATTGTATAATTTGTAATTTTAACTATATTATTGTATCTATATAATTGTAATTGTAATTTTGACGTACCAATGTTACGTAATGTAACGTAATGGCAAATAAATAAATAAAAAAAATAAAAAATATTGTTGTGGAAAGTGAAGAGTCACAAGAAATTGTAGAGGATGATGTCATAGATAAACATAAGACTGCGTTTAAATCTCTATAACTAAAGTGTCTTGATACTCCAAAGCTGGAGTGCATGTCGTATATAAAACTTTCTTCTTCAAGAGATATTTCATCGCTAAAAAGATTAAGAAAAACTGTAGACACCAGTATTCGGAATAATCTTCTCAATTATTACAAAAACAACAATCTAGATCACAGCCCCTACATTTGTCACTCGTGTTTACAAAAAAATTAGAACAAATCAACTGCCAGCAGCCTGCGTTCTAAATGATCTACACGTTAGTACTGTTCCACCACAGATAGATGAGTTAAATAACTATGAAAAGATATTAATTCAACGTGCCAAAGCATTTCAGGTATCAGGTATCATTTCAGGTATGAATCCTGTTGCAAACATTTACCTAATAGGCATATGGTGAAAAAAGTAAAAGGTAGAACTTTTCACCTTCCTTTGCCTCTTGAAGAAACTGAAAAAGCTGCCTAGCCCGTAAGCTCATGGCCATACTCTTATTCGATATCATAGAACCTACGGCTGGCTCAGGACGGTATCGAATTTGATACCAAATACTGCCCTATGAAAAAATATTTTTTGTTTTAAACAAAACCAAAGACAATATGCAATGAATAATATAGTAAAAGACAAAGATATGCTCTTTTATTTTAAACCATAATCTGGCAATATTTCTTAGAAAAAAAAAAGAAATCACTCTGAATTTACGGCGTTGTAGATGTCGCATTGCAGAAGGTACTCCATCTTTTTTATAGAATTTTATATTTGTGTCTGGACTAAAAACGAAAGTATTATACTTTTTTGTATTCCTTGTAATATAGTAAACACGTAGATATATAATTTGTGGCATAATAAGTGAAAAGTAAGTGCCAAAAGTACATCGAAATCGAGAAGGCCTATTTTGGCGGTTGGACCAAAAATGTGGTATTTTTCCAATTCTCATTTATTTTTAGTGTAAAATGTAACTAAAAAATAGTTTTATAACATATTTTAAATAACTTGACGTTGTATTTATTTCAAATTCACACAAAAAATTTTTTTTAATTTTTTGGTATGAGTAACGAATAGAAATACATAAAACATAAAAATATACATATTTCCAAACATTTTCATATAAATTTCTCCAAAAACAAAAGTGTAGAATACA